CTCAACCCATTCAAAGTAGCTACTCATTAACAAAGGAAATAGCCAAGAACAGCTGCTGACTCTTCCATCTCCACTTAGATCAGTCGGAAAACTGTAATAATTGACTCAACACATGCCAAGCGTTTTTCAGTGTCCTGCTCATTATTATTTAAATGGTAGAGTAATATAATGAGTTAACAGAATGATGAACAAACTGAAGGAGTTCAGTTGTGAAGTTTCTATAGTTGCTAGAAATCAAAGGTTGTGTAGCGATCTGGGGGGAAATAGCACATCTGAAGAAAGCTATGGCCTTTCTCCTCTTGAGAGTGCATGTGGGGCTGCAGAGGCCCCTCAGGAGCTGAGAGTGTTGGCTGCTTGCAGAATGCCCGCATTCAATTCCTAGCGCCTGGATCAGGCAATGCACACAGATGCTGCACCTCTAGCTCCACAGCTCCTGATGACCTCTTCTGGCCTCCTCAAGCACCTGCACACACGTGTGTGTACACTCATGCAAACACATACACATAAAAGTAAAATCTTATTTTAAAAAGTGTATGTGAAGTCAGGTGGTGGTGGAGCACGCCTTTAACCCCAGCACTAGGGAAGCAGAGGCAGGGGGATCTCTGTGAGTTTAAGGTCAGCCTGGCCTACAGAGTGAGTTCCAGGACAGTCAGGGCTGTTACATAGAGGAAACCCTGACATCCAATTCACTTTTGTGAATATAGAGTTCCAGTCTTAGCAAGTCCCTTAAACTTCTGGCACTTTCTACATAAGGGCAAAGCTTGAAGTGTGTCATCTGCTACTGGAAAGTAGATTTGATGATAATGATACAAGTTTCTTCAACTTGACTTCTGGAACTACTGCCATTCCTCAGTTTCTCCCCATGAGCTGAGCTGATGAAACATGACCGAAAGACCCAATGCACTGTTGTTGAAAACCAGCTGGGTCGGAAAAGGGCCATTGCTGGGCCCAGATGACTGGAAGACCAAGTGGCACCCCAGCCTGCTGCTGAGGTTTGCTTGCTCTGGCTATTGTCTTTCTCCATCTCCTTCTTTTTGTTTCTCCTTTTTTTATTCTCCCTCTCCTACCCCCCACCCCACCCCATCTCTCATGATGACCCCAGGAACATTGTTTAACCAATCTGGGGTTCTAGTTCCAGATCCCCATTAAAGCCACCAGAGAGAGACTGTCAAATGTAACACATCTTGAA